CTATTCTGCAGTTTCTACCAAACCGGTACAAAACAGTGGCAAACAGATTTAATCACAGGACGTTCGGCACAGAGCAGTCCCACAGGCAGCTGGGAACAGGGCCCAGGATGAGGCCTTGGATCCAACCACCGTGTCCGGTCCAGCTTCAGCCACTACTGGTACAAGCCCTCCAGCTCAAGAGCGAGCCGAGCCACCACACCTGAGGGACACAGAAGGGACAAAGGGCCAGCTCTGGTCTGCAGCACTTGTACTTCTCTTTGATGCTTTAGCACCTGAAGAGTTGGGGAAGTTGATCAATTTAGCCAATTAAGTCTATAACGAGCTGATTTATGTGATTAAGTACTGAGCTGTAATGAAAATCAGTGTAGTGTCCTCTTACAAAAAAGCAGAACATCACATCTAACATATTAAACACAGATGCAGCCTGCGAGCTTAATCACAACCCAGTTTCCTAATGCAGAAGCCACATACTTAATGAAGGCCCGTAATCATGCAGGTTAGTATATAAATAAGCTACTGGTGACAGGATCATGATATTTATAAACCAGATACATTTTCAAATAATTACTTTATTCTTTTTACTAAAAAGGAAATATAGAAGGGATACAGCTGGTTTTCGTCAAGCATGGCGACCAGGAGCCTCGCAGGACAGAGCAGCCATTAATAATACACAGGAAGTGGAGAAATCCTCTGAAATGAGTTCAAGAAATCTGCACAAATGCTTCCAATTTGATGTTAAAATATTTACTTAGCTTGCTGGTGGGAGCTCTTACCTTCCCTTCCTCCTTCTGTGTTAAGGAGCCAAAGAGCAAATTAAAACCTCATTCATGAAAGTAACCTTGACTCCCTGAAACATGAGTACAATGTGGTTCTGAAACCAAATGCCGGTGTTACACTTGTCCAGTGTAACTACTTCCCAGAGCTCCTGAGGAGCTTCACCTGATCACTACAGATCTCTCAGTATGATCTTGACAGCGACTGTCTGAACTGAAGTGGTGCAGTGGTCAGCCATGCTTGAACCTCCAGCACTGGGGCTAAGGGGTTCATTCCTGGGGCGCCGTCTGTACGGAGTTTGTAAGTTCTCTCCGTGTTCACGTGGGTCTCCTGTGACCTTGTACTGGAGAAAGTGGTTAGAAAATGGATGAATGTAGCTGGTGAGGTGTAGAACAAACGCTAACAGTGACTCAATTGATCCTTAATTCACCTGGTGCAGCAGCGTCTCTCACCTCTGCCTGTTCTGCTGTGTAGGAGGGCTGCTCTCCAGTGGGGGGTAAGTGGGCTCCTTCATGTATTGCAGAGCTCTGTCTATATAAGATCACTTTATTGGCCATATACAATTTCTATCATTAGGAATTTGTCTTTCCACATACCCCAGCTTTCTGGAAAAGTCCTGGACAACTTTCCCCCCGGCCTTTACCAGTCATGGCCTCCTAATGATCCTCATCTCTGAACTGGCTTCATCACTCTGCTCTCCTCCCACTGAGAGCTGGTATGTGGGGAGAGTACTGGTGCATCATCCAGGTGGGGCTGCACACTGGTGAGGCTGGAGGGGATCCCCATTACCTGTAAAGTGCTTTGAGTGGAGTGTCCAGCAAAGCACTATATACAGGTAAGTGCAAGCAATTATTATTTATATATGTTATTTTAACAATTAATGAAAGCAACAGTAACAGAAACAAAATGACATAAAATCTTAGTATTGTAGTATAGTATGGGGTCTGCAGAAGGGTAGTTCTATTAATTTTTAAAGTGTGTGGCATGGGTTAAGAGAGACTTAAGACTGCGTAGAAAAGCTGGGCACGGTCATGCCGCGGGTGCCGTGTGGAAGCAGAAAACGGCGCCGCTGCTTGAGAACGCCGCCCTCTAGCGGTCGATGCTGGTGCTGTGTGCGACGCTAAACACATTTAAAAAAATGTTCCCATAATCGATTCCTTTTTGAATACACAAATCCTGTTACTTCACGGCGGAAGCTCACGTACAAACAGCTGTTTCGTTTGACATCTTAGACAAAGAAATTCGCAGACTGTGACTTCAGGAATCGCACAGCTAAGGACGCAGCGACAATTTTTCCTAAAAAAAACCCTCCCCCGCTTAATTCGCCATCCGAAGGGCTACCCCATCCCACTGTTAACACCAATATAGCGCTGTCGGGTTCACGCGCCCTCGCCACTGCCGCCTCCGGTTGACCCCCCACCGCTCTAGGGACTCGAACCCGGACCTCCAGCGTCACTCCACAGGGACCCAGCCTCTTGAGCCAAAGGGAAATCTCCCGTTAGCCCGGCGGCTGCGGTCTCTGCTCTCCACAGGGAAGGGCGGTGACGTCACCGCGCTGGTAAGACGGCTCGCACAGCCTGCAATGTCGGCGGTCTGCGTTACAATAATAATGAGAAGAAGAACTTGGTATTTACTATTTGTACTGAACTCAAGGACACTGTACATAGTCATAAATAATAAAAAAAACAAAAAAGTAAAGGATAGTAAAATATAAAAACAAGAAATTACATTAAATAGGATCACCAGACGTCTTTTTCCCCCTAAATCTCCGTCCGGGCGGAGACATATTCCCTTATTCTTTTTCCCCAGTGATGTTCGAATCGAAATGGCTCTTGTACAAATATCTACCGATACAAATATCAGCAGAACCACAGCCCATCCCCCGTTGACAGGGGATTTTATTTTTAATTTAGTAAACATTTAAAACAGAATAACTTAGATGGTGGCTCCTCCACAGCTGAGTGACCAGTAACAAAACTCGACTAGTCTTTACAATTATTCGAAATATGATCTATTTAATAATTATTTACTTGTGAATAAAAAGGGGAGAAATATATGTTCAATACTGGAGTCAAAACTAACTTTTAACCATTTAACTAAGGCCAACTAAAAAATATTGTCAATAAAGTACCTCACAGTTTCAGGCAATCGGGTATTCCTGCGTGTTATTGAATGCCAGCCGGAGGGTCTTTACTGGGCAGACACGGTAATTAGGAATTCAACTTCATGACCTTCCCAGTGCCGTATTTCAGGGAAGGAGGACCGGAGCTCTCAACAAGCCCCACTTCAAACCCAGAGTTGTTGAACTCCTGAAGGGTGAGCGACGCGCCGTTTTCCACATTAAGGCTTGGTTAGGCTCGGCTGAGGTGAACAAAAGTGAGAAAAATATATCTGAGGGCCACCAATTTCTGTCTGTTGTTCCTTTTTTCAACCCTAGTCATGCCCCCCTTACAATTCTTTAAGTTAGGGAAATAACGGAAAATTACAATAAGGCAGGACACAACCTTTTTTGTCCTTCTGATCATTCAGTCGCATTTTTGCTGACTGCCAGCAACAGCTACATTAAGGGTGAAAACAGCAAAACAAATGAAAGGCCTATGAGCTGATACACCGCGGAGATCCAGGGACTGAGACAGGCTTCGCAGGTTCTGCTCTTCATTGTGCAAGTCTTACAGCTGGCGGAGACAGGCAACCCCTCCCAAGACACCCAGGTACCGCACCCCAGTCATCCCAAAACACAAGCGCCACAGCGTCGTAAACACAAATAGACCCAGTGTGCCGGCATAACATGAACCATATTAAAATGTGCTGCAGATATCCGTTTAGTATTACCACCTTCTATAATGCTACCTTCACACATGTTTAACAGATCTATGAAATTTGACTAATAAAGACTTTAAACAGGGAGAAACGTATTATTTAATATCTTCGAGGGAAAACTGTCGACCTTTGGGTAATACAAGTTGCTGCACTCTGAAAAACTGTTTTCATTACACAATTTATTCACACCATTACAACACAAGACTCCCAGAGATCACTAATATAACAAAATAGCTACTGACACAGAATTTAAAATGTAACAGAAAAAAAAGATTAAAAAACATTATATAAAATATTTACTGTTGTGAATTTAGCAATTATTAATGATTTAGGAGTCATTAATAACACAAGTCAGACATTAATTTGAGTTGACAATATGATTCAATAAAACCTTACTCTTTGATTTTTCAGAATTTAGTTTTGCATCCAAGCAGCTGTTTTACACATTGACAGGCTTACAGGAAACATATTAGTAGTACAAATAAACATTACATTAAAAATAAATGTAACATTACATTAAAGACATCAAACCATACATAGTCATTGCACATCCTTCCTACAGGAATCCACAGAGTTTTCCAGAACCTGTGAGTTTACTCCCCTTGTACCCTAAGCCTCTATAATTGCACATGACCCCTTCATTTTGCACATACCCACTGAGTTTAGCACACATTGATCCTCTGGAAAACGAATAACTTGCAGAAGCTTTTCTTCTAATTCTGTTTCCAGCTTCCTTATGGCTAAAATGACAGGCCGATTCCACGTCTCCACTCAAAGCGCTTTACAAGTAATGTGGTGGTGGAGGGGATCCCCATGACCTGTAAAGCGCTTTGAGTGGAGTGTCCAGCAAAGCGCTATATAAGTGTAAGCAATTATTATTATTATTTATATTTAAGAGGAGCATTTTAGAAAGATGCTTTGGGAGGTTCAGTTCCCAAATAAATTCCAGTACATCAGAGAAAACAAGACACACACACACAAATCAACCATATTTATAAATGAAGGCAAATAAAGCATCCCTTATGTTTCAACTTTGAGAAGAAAACATTTTCTTGGGGAAAAGGATCAGAGGAATGCGTTTTGTTGCTTGAAGTTCTAATTTATATTGTGCAAAACTGCTCAATTGTTTAAATGATTGTACGTTTACAGATATTACATGCGAAGAATTTCCTAACACTTAAGAAAAACGTTAAAAATCACTGATGAGCGATAAATCAAACCACAAGCAAGCAGCACTTTCTTTAACACACGTTATGAAATCCTACTACACACCAAAGCAGCAGATTCAATAGATTGAGTTGCAACGATATTAGAGGAGAACTATATTATTAACCAAAACAAATACAACACTGAAGTACAACAATTTATTTAGAATAATAGTCGATTTTTATTCCAGATGTGTTTTTCATTTTGCATGATGTTTAACGCTCTAGCGGTAACGAATGTGCTTTTACTAAGTGTCGAATTCGTCAGCATCATCACGGCAATCAATGGAAAACAAAACAGTTGTTGGGTAAATGTAGAAAAATCTTAATCTGTAGATTCGCTTTCAATGTCTTTAAAAGTTATTTGATTTAGGTGGAAGAAAAGACAAAAAAAAGTTTAACCGGTGAGTTTGAAAGAAAACGACTTTTTAAAACGAGTTTTTTGTTAGGCAGTGTTTAAATCGCCACTTAATAGTTACCTGCCTTCTCCGGTGCTTACTGTCGAAACTGCTGCTCCGAAAAGTCAAGCTGTCGTTTTCCAAGCGGAGGTTTGAGAAGCTGATGTGTTTCTGGCGAGAGACGTATCGCTTCTTTAAGACACAAGGCGGAGGGTGGAAAACAGAAAAGGAGCCGAAACTATCGGAGAGAAAGATGTCACCCGAAACAAGCTTCTCGACCGAGTCTTAGAAAGGGGAATGGGACCGTCCTGGCTAAACAATGCTAGTTGGGGGCACGACTTGGGCGATTTGAAAAATAATCGTTGACGGAGGTTTTCCTGCTAACAAAAGACGTAAATAAAACACGAGCGAGAGGAATATGGGGAGGTAGGCGCCCGTCGAGGAGAGAAGTTTGTTTTCTTGTGGAAACGAGTGAATACAGGCGAGAGGGCGATGTGAAGAGCAGCGGAGTCAACATGATCCCCACTTGATGCAGCCGGAGTCATCAGCCGCGGGCTGTCCGAGCGAGAGCGGCGACGTGTTCGTCTACCCCGAGAGACGTAGACGCAGCTGTATTTCAAACCGTGTCCAAGTGTAAAGATTCACAGAAGCCCATCCATATTTAAGCATTTCATTAGAGAACATAAACGACTGTTCTTGGATAAAGAGTTAATATATAGCTGAATGTTTAGGTGCTGCAGGCTGTGTTTAAAACTATATAAATATTATGATTACTGTTGGGCAAGACAGGGGCAGAACGTCAGCAGGACCTGAGATTACTTCACAAGTTTGAACTACTGATTCATCGCGGTGATTAAATACTCCCGCCATAGTGCATCTGTTGCAGGAAAAATCCAGGAAAAAAGAAAGGCGACTAGTCGGATACTCAAACACTAGAACAAGCCACTACCTTTGGCCGGACAGCGAGGTGCAGTTGGTCTGCAGGTGGTTCCTGTCATGTGTTTGTAGTTTACAAACAAAACAACCGATCTTAGTGTGGGCTTCACCTAACCGGGAGTGTTTACACCCTTTTTAAAGATACTGTTTATTCAAATCCTGTAAACGCTGGGGTAGGTGTTTTGCAGTTTTCGTCCGTTCTAGCTTGGTAGAAATGAGAAAATGAACAGCGAGGCGCAGGATCTAGAGTTGAGCAATGGGAAAGCGAAGAAATCCGCTGGCGAGCAGGCAGACTGCGCAGAAATCATCCCCCGACTCAGCCTGCGGGAGGTGGACACAGCCGGGCGAGTGGTAGAGGGGGAGACCGCACTGGAGGTGGTGGATGGGGGGGGCGAAGAAGAGGTAAACGGGGACGACAGAAATGGGGTTCAGGTACCCCAGACGGCCGGGACTGATCTGGATTACGGCCCAGCAGACGAGCTTGTAGCGGCCCAAGGGCTTGGTGCCACTGGGGATGATGCACAAGCTGGCGTGGATTTGGCATTGGAGGACGGGCAGTGGCCAGAACCGGGCCCTGTGCAGCCCGAAGGGGGCCCGGGAGACAGGGACATTGTGTCCACTGATCCAGATGTGGCTTCGGAGTGCCCAGCGAGCCTAGGGACCCCACCCTCGACACCGGGGGCTGCTGAGTGCGCGCCCCTTCAGGTGGGGGCCGGTGTGCCCCCCTCACCGCCGGATGAGCACGAGAAGCTGAAACACGGGGTGAAAAGGGTGACTTTCCCCTCAGATGAGGACATCGTATCCGGAGCTGTGGAGCCCAAGGACCCCTGGAGGCATGGTAAATACCGTCCTTCCGCTGGCACCTGAGTTCCTGGCACTGTGTCTTGCTGTTTCGTGTCCAGCCCTGTCTGCTCTCATGACAGCACAGCGGCTGCGCTGTTAGACCAGATGGCACATCCTGAATTCCAGGCCTCTCATCTAGTGGCGGGTCAGATGTGAGATTTCAGGCTGATGGTGGTGAATGTGTTTTTCTTCTGCTCAAGATCCTGTAACAGTAGCTTGTCAAGTTGCAGGTCTGCTAAACTTCATGTGCTCTTTTTCCTTCGCAAAGACATGTCTCGGGTTTTAAAGATTTTAAAAAAGTGATTGATTGGAAAATAGATGTGCCTAGAAGGAGTGGAGTGTCTTGTGCTAGTAGTGTCCTCACACAGTCCTTGTTAGTGGAGTAGTAGCAGACACGCATGCCATGAAAACAGCCGTTACCTTCCCACAAATTTCCAGTTCTTCAAGCCAGGCCCTGCTTCATCCCTCCTGTGGTTGATGGGTTCCGGGCCACCCTGTGTGACCCCGAGCCCCAGAAGCATGTGTTCTGCAGTGTGTCACAGACAGAAGCTCTCGCACTGTGCGCTGGCCAAGACTGCCATTTGAAAATTACCTCCCTTTGTCCTTCTGATATTGTTTACGTTGGGCTGCCAGCGGAGCTCTGAGTGACGTCACAGAACCCGGTGCAGCTGTCTGCGCTGCGTCCGCCCCGTGAGATGCCACCTTAGGGGTCAGCGGGTCTCTCTGGGGAATGGTTATGTGCCGCTGTGCAGCGAAGTCCTTCTTTATGCTGCCAAGCCTGTTTACTACCTGCTTGGAGGGAGAGCTGTACAGGATGAAGTTAACATGTTTTCCAAATCTCCATATTAAACCTACAGGACCAGGGCAACACGACTCTGGTTTATGTCGTCAGCTTTGTCTTTCCTCCTGCGTTTTCTTGCTTGTTGCACAGCTAGCTGTGATCCAGTGTGTCCTGTGTGGACCTCTGGGGTTGTTTTTCAGCTCGACTAATTTGCCGTGTTCACAGCTCTGAGGAAATTAGTTTCCATCTAAACCCACTGGAGAAGCCATGCAGCTCTGCCAGCCTGTCGCACCCCTGCTCACCTTTCAGCTCCTCATCGGTGCTGGCAGAGGAGATGCCAAGCAAACCTCCTCTTGTTTGTAGCCATTCTTGTGCAGACAGAAGTTAAATGTTAGGGACAAATCATGAGATAACAATCCAAATCCCAGATCTTAATCAGTGATGTTAACTACGCAGTTTGCTTATTCAGATATGTAACAGTCACCAAAATGAATACCAGGGAAAGGACATGAAATTGCCCCAGACACACAGACATGCATGTCCTGAATGACCCAGTCGCTGACTGTAATGGAAATCTAAAACACTAATTCATTTTCAAAGTTACAAATTACGAAAAGTATTTGTAAAGAAACATTGTGGAACATGGTGTGCTTTCAGACTGCAGCATCCTGCACTAGATTTACTGAAGTTGTTTGTGCCCTGGTAGTTCCTCTTTTTTGGATTTGTGATCTGTTCACATTTTTTTCTGAATTCATTTTGCAGAAGTTATTCACACAATTCGATGGGTGACGTTGCTCCAGTAATTGTTACCCTTTTTGAGCTGTTTTGCATTTGATAGTGGAGTATGTGAAACCGGCCACAGTTCAGGTGAAGGTGCTGCCCTGGATGATGAGGGATGGTTTTAGCTGGTGAAATGTGTCTGTGGCTGGGTGTGAGAGCCCCGCTGTGCTGGCGGCAGGGCCCCTGGGTGATGATTACCACAGCAGTGCAGCCAGGCAGCCCAGAGCCACGGGGGGATACCAGATCAGTGACTCGCCAGCGGAGCAGCATGAAGGCTTTCCATCTGTTTGGCTGCTGATCTTAGAATACAGGCAGGTGGCAGGGAGGTCATTCTCCCTGCAGCTCTCTGGGTTAGTCGGGGGTTTTAGTGTGAGAATTTACGCAAGGAAAAGGATTAAAGGTCGTCCAGTAAGAGCGTCTGAGTTGTTTTATCTGCTGCCTCAGTTGGTTGATTAATGTACAGTCCTATCGGTGCAATAAAAGTGCCACGGGCTCTTTCCAGTGGGATGCCTCACTGGTTCCTTATCTCTGCCCCTCACCCGCATCCCTTTCCCGGTTCTTGGAAAACTGTTTGGTTGTGGTTTCAGAAGCGCCAGGCTGTGTGACATCACATTGGCTTTGTTACCACAAGTGTCATTGCTGATTATTTAAGTTTGAGAAGGAAAAGTCAAAATACTCTTTCCATGTGTTTCTGTTTCTTGCTGGTGCTGATTCTGTCGAGTGTCTGCGCCTGTGGGTGACTGGGGATGTCAGGGACGGCTGGAGGCAGCTGTGTCCGGGCTGGGTTAGCTCCTCCAGAGAGGCAGGGGGCAGAGGGTGTTACCCCCCCTGTCCTGGCTACATAGGCTTGTAGAATGTGGCCTCCCTGACGTTCTCCCATATTCCAGCTGGTGAAACTTCACTTCTCCTCCCCCCGATCTGCAGTGGGGCTCCTGGTGCAGGATGGCTGCTGTGTGTCACCCGGGTGGGGCCGCGCTCAGCTCTTCAGTGGTGGAAGGAGGGAGTCCCTTCTTGTATGTGTAGCTCTTTGGCTTCACACGGATGTGGGGTGAATCTAAACTTTACTTTAAACCTGTGTGCCGCCACCATGTGCTCCTGTGTGCCAGTAGCCCATGGTGTGTGTGTGGTGAAGTGGCTGTGTGCACCTGCGCTAGCTATTCTCAAGTAGTCTAAACCATTCCATGTCTTACAACAGAACCACGGGTTATACTGACCGAGGAGAACAGCAAATATGTTTGAAATTGTTTAAGCTTACGTGGTGGTTTAAGCAAGAGGCCTCAGAACAGGCCAAAACAACTGGAAAATAGCCAGGACTTGAGGTTGTATTAGTATTAACCTAATAATAGCTTGCAGCTGGTAAAATCTTAAGTGGCTTGAGCTGCTCTGGAGTGGGAGTTCGGCTTGTTTCCATGTTACGTGAATAATTATATTACTAAGAAGGTTATAGGACAGCAAGAAAAAGAGAAATAACTGAGCAGACTAGAACTGATATTTAAGTGCTTCGTTTTGGGCTAGTCCAACGCCCTTGGCTTATTGAGCCATATTGAAATGCAGGCCTGCAGAGGAGCTGGTCTGCCGCTCTGAGTGCACGGAAGTCCACAAAGAAAACAGCGAGCGCAGCAACGAGGCAGGGGTGGTGAATCACATTGCATTTACGAGGCTCCGTCAAAACTTTTATGATGTTTTTAGCATTTGGGACATGAATAAACTGCAGGCGCTTGAGCGGGCTGGCGCGCTGAGCCTCCGCTCCTGGACAGGGCCGTCAGGGCTGTGCGCTGGTCGCTGAGCCCGGCAGCCGGCAGGATATTGACCTGCGGGACCCAAGGGACAGGCCTGAGGCTGACCCCTGACCACTGCGTCTCCTCTTGAGTCGGTCACGGGTGCCTCCACCTTAATGCCAATCCCAGAGGCCCTTAGAAACTCCAGATCCAAATTACTGGCAAGGTCAGCGGTCAGGAAAAATTACCTTGTTTCCTAAAGGAGTTTTAAATGTGCATGATTCACTACAAATACAGAAATATGGGAATCTCTACTTCATTGGGTCTTCACAGTGGTTTACAGGGGCTTAAGCCTTTTATATATATTTTAAAAAAGGCAACTTTGAGAACCTAAATACAAACCTGTTACTGTATTGCATGGGGACTGAACTCCAATGGGTGAATTTTATGTTTTTCCACAAAAACTCTTGGGGGGGGACTCTCTTGCTGCCAGTTTGAAATTGAGGGGAAAGCGGGCTCTAGCAGTTTGAAGGCAGGGAGCTGTCAGCTGGTTCAGAATCCTCCACCCTGGTGTCTCGCGCACTTCACTGGCTTCTGATGCGTTTTTGTTTTCCTTGTTGAGCCGCGGAATTACTTTCCAGCTCTTTCCCTGTCAACACTTACGGACTCTTGCAATAAGAAGTTGGGTTTTGGCAAGATTTTCTGCATATTTGTTATGAGTGTCCTGGCGCTTTACCTTGTGTTTGTGAAGTTGCAGGGACAGACGTCCTGTTCCTGACTTCCCCTGGGCTCGCGGGGAGCGCGGCGTTTCCTCTCCCACGGCAGCAGGCTGGTCAGCGCAGTGCCCGCTAGGCCACGTGTTAGTTTCCCCTCTCCAGTTACGAGTCAGTTCAGCCCTGCTGGTACAAGTTCACACTGTCTGTGCGCCGTGCGCCCCCTCGACTCGCCCACCTGTTGGGCCCTTTCGCCAGGTGATGCTGTCCCAGGAGCAGCAGATCCCACTGTGGCCAGAGTCCTGGCGACACTCGGCCAGCTGTTTGCCACTGCCAGGGGAGTCCTGGTCACTGCTGGCTTGAGCCTGCGGTTTCTATATTGGTGGAGCTGTTTCGAAGCTCCTGTCTGACTGCTTCATTCGATGCACAGGAAGCCAGTTGCAGCCTCTGAATAATACACCCCTCTTAATCCTGTCTGGTTATTTAGTGTCAGTGCGGTCATGACCTGCGAGGCTACACATTGCTGTCTGTGGCCTCTGTCATATTTCACACACAGTGCAAACATGACTGTGTGCAGAAAATAGCGCCAGGCAGGAAACAGCTCTTTCTGCTGTGGACTTTCCTCACTGCAGTCTGCCTGGTGCAGTGGAGAGGCCGACGAGTCACAGAGCTGAGTTTATATTGTTATTATTTCCACACCTGCAGGCCTGTGGGGGCTGGGCAGGCTGGGGTGAGCTGGCATGTGCCTGGGGAGCAGCTTGCGCCGCCCAGGACTGCCCATCCCAGGACTGCCCATCCCAGGACTGCCCATCCCAGGACTGCCCGTCCCATCGCTCGTGGGGAGACGATGTGCCATCGTGAGAGACTGGCGAGTGGGCAAGCTGTGGCTGCGGGCAGTGTAGCACAGAGCCAACCTGGAACCAGCCGAGGCTGTGAAGTCTTGTCTGGCCTGCTCTGGGAATTGCAGTCTAGTAATTGCGGGTCAACTCTTCGTCCCCCAGTC